ATCAGATATAAATGATACTGAAACACATATACCAATATTTGAATCCAGAACCGCTGCTGTACTGGAATCAATTATCATCACAAATGAAAATGTTAATGATATATCAAAAACTCTCAAGCTAGGAAAAGCGTCCGGGCATGACAAATTAAGTCATACTCTACTGAAAAATACTGCCATTTCCATTGCCAGGCCTTTAACTTTATTATTCAACATGTTATTGAGCATATCAATTTTTCCAGAATACTAGAAACAAGCGTATGGGATTAAGGGGAAACTACTCGAATGGATAACAAGTTATATAACAAATAGACAACAAAAAGTACTTCTTGATAATAACTATTCTACTACAGGAAATTTAAGAGCTGGTGTCCCTCAAGGTAGCGTATTGGGCCCCTTGTTGTTTTTGATATATATCAATGACATTGCTGATAATATACTTAGTATATCTAGGCTATTCGCTGATGACACATCACTATCAGATGCATCAGCATCAACAGCAGAACTAGAAACAACATTAAATGCAGATCTTGAAAATCTAAACAAGTGGTCTAAAAGATGGCTCACTACATTCAATCCAGAAAAAACACAATTTCTGCTAATAACAAACTCTAGAAATATTCCAGATATTAGCTTACAATTTGGAAACTCCCTATTGACATTCACACAAAAACACAGACATTTAGGAGTTACTTTTAGTGCAGATGCAAAATGGTCTAAACACATATATGAAATATACAATTCTTGCATGAAAAAAGTATCTGTACTAAGAAAACTAAAATATCTTTTAAACAGGAAAACTCTTTTGAAATTATATATAGTATTTATTTTACCTGTACTAGAGTATGCCAGTGAAGTTTGGGATGTCTGCTCACTTGCAGATGCTAACCATCTAGAAAAGGTACAGTTGGAAGCAGCTAGGGTCATAACAGGTTTACCAGCATTTGCCAGAATAGAAACACTGTATTAAGAAACCAATTTAGAACCTTTATCAATAAGAAGGGAACGCAAGAAATTAATATTATTCTACAAAACGCACAATAATCTAACTCCATCGTACCTTAATGACTTACTTCCTATACAAGTAGGGGAACAAACACAATATAGACTTAGAAACAGAAACAACTACACTACTCCTCTATACAGACTGTCGTTAACAAAATCATCCTTCATCTCATCAACTATACGACTGTGGAATGATTTGAGTGACACTATACGTGACAAACCAACAATTAATAGTTTAAAGTCATCCATAATTAATAGAAATAATTTGAACATGCTGCCAGTCTACTTTGAATACGAAAACAGAAAACATAATATTTTACATACAAGATTAAGACATGCCTGTAGTTCTTTAAGATATGATCTGTATAGGATAAACATTATAGAAAGTCCGTCTTGTATGTGTGGAAGTCAACATGAAAATTCATTTCATTATTTTTTCGAGTGTAATTTATATGAAAGAGAAAGGCGATTGTTATTACTTACATTATCTGTATATGGTATTATAAACTTAGTCTTACTATTAAATGGCAGTTTAGATTTGTCTCTTGGGGAAAACATCCATGTATTCAAATCAGTACAGAAGTTTATTAAAGACAGTGGTAGGTTCTAATTTCTCTCTCTCTCTACATGATGAGCTTAGAATCCATCCCCCAACCTTTCTCATGAGCCAATCAAAGACCCTCCTTCAACCTCTTAGATGACATCTAGTGATAGAGCAGTTTTCTCGGTCCCTATCAAGACTTTCCTGCATCTTTTTTGGTTTCATTAACTATATTTCTATTACAAAGAATCGACAGGACATTTTCTAGCTTTCTATTACCATATGGATTTGGGTGGTTATTCGTCTTGCCTATGGTAATGCCGATGACGAGACGTACTGTCTTTGCAGGGTCGGAGTATGTTGGGTAAGAACCCTCGCTTCGTCTAGAGCTCTCTTCACTTTTTCGCATTGCCTTTTCGATTGGCGGTTTATAAACACTTTTTTTGACTTTGGGCACTTTATTTTGCCCCTTTCTAATTTCTCCCCTGTGGAGTTTTTTCCCATTTTGGTTACTGTCCCTCTGTGGATGATTTCGCTGGGATGTTTAAGTCTTCAGTACGGTAAGACAAACTCGTAAACTTAAGATAACAAAAAAGTGCCTTCCAGATAATAATTAGAAGAAGCGGCCGCCTTACGGGGTTTCCGTATTTTTACCAAAACCAGTCTTACCTGCATACGGTGTTATTAATTTGTTATGATTTATTTTCCACGTACCATTGCTTGCATTTCATAATTACGTACCACTTGATAAGAAATTTGTTTCAAAAATATAGATACAAACTATGATACTACAAAAACTTCACATATATATAGTAGTTAAGGGAAAAGTGTCAACCGACCTATAATTCTTTATTCCATTTCGCCGTCTTTACCTTTCCCATTCCAAATGTACACCCCCTCCAAGCTACACAAAAGTATAATGAAGTAAAAATTTCGGGTTGTCAATGTTTAGCCAGTTAACAAGTTACTCCGTCGGAAGACCATGAACCGGTTACCCAGATCAATAACCGAATAGTCGTACATAAGTATCCCCTTTGGTGAGCCCCATGTAGTCCTGGCTTAGACCTCCTACGTCCAAAAAAAGATAGTTTTGTAATTGTGTTCAGGCTGGCTTGTTGGCGATGTTTTTGTTCTCTATTGTAAAGTTTGACAAAGAAATGCCGCGAGCACCACATGCATTTGCATTTGATGTGTTGATATAATCTGCAGGTACACACTTAAATGAGCAAACATGTATTAAAACGTTTGTCGATCAAGTTTTGTTCTAAAGAACAATATAACTGCATATGACTTCGAGCATATATAACTGTAATTGAATCCAACCTTACTGTATATTGTACCGACATTTGGTTTCCACTTACTGAGGTTACATTTAACTATTGCCTGCGTTTAGCTTGAAATACGCGAGTAAACTATCATACTAATTAATATAAACATATATGCATTTGGTGTAAATACGTTTTAATAAGAAAGTTTTCTAAACATTTAACGTATTGTCGTTGTTTATTATTTAATTACCAAACTGACCGGCTACTAGATCGGAAGATTGTTCAAGTAACCGATTACCAAAATGTGACCGGTTTGACAACCCTATAAAATTAAAATTAAGAATTCGTGTGAACACATACATAATATGAAGTACACAGTAGGGACGACTGCTGTACATTGTCAAGTCCTTTGTATTAGCGGGGGTGTTGTAAGTTGTCAAGACTTATAGTCCAGTACTTTGTATTAGTGGGGGGTGTTGTAAATTGTCAAGACATGTTGTCCAGTACTTTGTATAAGCGAGGGTGTTGTAAATTGTCAAAACATGTTGTCCAGTCCTTTGTATTAGCGGGGGTGTTGTAAGTTGTCAAGACTTATTGTCCAACCCTTTGTATAAAAGGAGGAACTGTTGTAAGTTGTCAATACGTGTGGTCTGATCCTTTTTATTAGAGTATCGTTGTCCAATCTTTGATATTAGAGGCGGTACTGTTGTAAGTTGTCAATATTTGGCAGTTTTTTATATGCCGCATGTCATATCTAGTTCATTATTATAGTCCCACAAAGATTAAAAAAATAGTGTTAATCAACCCCAAAAATACTTAAATTATCAAAAAATACCATCATGTTAACATGTATTTCAACAATCGGCAACATATGACATTTAAGTCAGTGACCTAATTCGGTGAAACAACAGTTCTAAGTTCATTTCTGAACCCAATGACAATTTTTAATAATACAGGTCAATTTCTTAAATGCAGGTTAGATTTACCTAATTAGATAAAACAACAGTTCTAGGTACATTTCTGAACCTAAAGGCAATTTTTAATAATGTAAGTAACAATTTTCAAAAGTAGGTCAAATTTACCTTATTAGGTGAATCAACATTTTTAAGTACATTTTTGATTTCCCTCTAATGGGGTCCATTTTCAACGGGAGAGTCAGTTTTCAACGGCTCCCCGGTTCCATTTTCAACGTTGAAAACTGACCCCGGTTCCATTTTCAACGGTGGTCCATTTTCAACGTTTCACCGGCACAGATGATAGGGTTCGGCTAGATAAAATTAATTTATTAAGATGATTAGGCGGACTTCCCAAAACAAAACACAATAAAGTAGGCTAAGGTCACAGGGCAGCCTGGAGGTGGTAGTCACACCCTCCTACTACTTCGGTGCCGTACCAGACATCTTGATGCGATGCGGCTAGCGACAAATCTAAATAAATTAAAAAGTCAATTACACTATAGACATATAATATTAAAATTTTGAATGAGTCATTGACTGCCATGATTGAAGGCATACACTACAGTCTTTTGTTCAGGGTACACGCATAGGGGTTTCATATATACTTATACCACTATAGGTAAGACATAAACAGTAATACATAAACAGTTTAACCCCAGATTGTCATACTTGCCAACTTTTAAAAATTTCCATGGGGGAGATTATGCATGGTCAGAATTAAGAGCATAAATAAAATGCATGTATATACTGTACATCCTAAGGAAATGACATCTTTTGAGCTGTTCTTTCAGATGGAATTTTAGCAAATTCACTTGTAGAAATTGCTCAATTTTAAGGTTAAAAATCGGGAGTCTCCCTCCTAAATAGGGAGAGTTGGCAAGTATGAAGCCATGTGATCAACGCGGATGCCGCTGTTTAAAAAACCCGTCTAAACAAGGAAACCAACGTTCATGACTGCATGCTATTTTGAACAACGTACCGTTTAATTAAAAAAAAAGAAAAAAAAAGAAACTCGACAAATACAAACTGGATAATTACCCAGCTGTACACGAACAGTATGCGACCTTAACACACTTCTTTGTTAAGCCTACTGTATGGCTTCTTCCCCTTTCTCATGCTTTGGTGGCTTCTCCCTCCGATTGCCACTTTCGGTTTGGCATCATTGTTTTGTTATATTTGGGTTGTGGACATAGCCCGGATGTCGTCACGTGACTTTGGTTGCTACGCCGGGGCGGGGTGTGGAAGGGTGATAGATATATATAAACAAAAGGCAGCGTCTACCAACAGAATCGCTACTGCATCAGTAAAGTTTGGCAGGCCTTACGGACGGCGATCGGAGGACATTTTCCACACACATAAGTATAACTTTTGTGATTTGTTTAGATAGCAATTGTGTGTAGGTGTATGGACAGACGAGGCTAGTACCTGTGGTTTAAACGTCACTACTTTTTTTTAATATACCCAAATATTTCATTATGAAAGACCTGTCTACCGCCAAACTACGAAGTGAAGTTAATTCATTTCGGACAAACGACGGTAGAATATTTCTGAAACTTCGTGACAATACAACCAAATATCTGATTAAAACACGTGAAGATCTTTATTCAAACATTCCATTCCTACGCCCATGATCCTAAGATCTGGATGAATCTTGTATTCAGTCATTCGATAATAATCAGACTCACCAAGTTATCTGACTATATCATTCTTGTTGTTGTGTTAACCTTTTGTTTAATTGATGGATTTCTTGTTTTCTTATCTATGACTACCTGTAAGATCATAACCATTAATATTATGATCATATACGTGTGGGTAATCTAAACAGATCGCAAATTCTATTCTCATAATTATGTAAGAACTAACGCATATAATAGAATAAAAACATGTTTATATGTATGCATTCCAAAATGTTATCCAGATATGTAGAATAATAATCATGTATGCATATATATAATCAACAATATAATCAACAATATAATCAACAATTCTATCCTTATCTATATGATCATGAACATGTAAAAATGTATATAATTAACATTGATATCCTGGTCATGGACATGTGTGTAATTTAACAATGTTATCCAGATCTGTTTATAACCAACAAGCAAATTCGTGGAATTTATATCCCCCACATGCAGGACATATTGAAGGTTAACATTATTGAGGTTATTTTTAAACATGTGAGTATCGTACATAATGTATAGCCCTATACCTCATTGATTATCCGTAAATATGCACAAATCACATTGGTTGGTAAACTTAGCATGAGTCGGATGTGCATACGAAATTTGGTTGAAACATCTGAACAATATCTACAGCATTTATCACACGAAAACCAAAGAGTGCCCGAGATGGGTGGAAAGACAGAGGAACACAAACATTGTTATCAAGTTTGAAGGAGTTTGGCTAATGTTTGCTAGAGTTAGAAAGCGGAAACTGCAAATAATGTAGTTTTTCGTTAATCAAGGGGCCATTACTCTGCCAAATGGAGTCCGATTAAAGTGGTTGTCAAACTTGGCCGAGCCCTTCACGCAATGAACCCTGTTACTAAGTTTGAGGACAATCGGATAATACTTACGAGATTTAATAAACAGAAAGGACAGATAATGACATTTTTCATTATTCAAGAGGCCATTACTCTGCCAAATAGGGTCCACTAAACTTGGCCGAGCCCTTAAGGCATTTAACCCTGTGACCAAGTTTGAAGAAAATCGGTTAACATTTGTTGTAGTTATTGCACAGAAACGAAGCGCGACAGATAATGACGTTTTTCGTTATTCAAGGGGCCATAACTCCGGCAAATGGGGTCCGCTGAAAATGGTCATCAAATTTGGCCGAGCCCTTAAGACATTTAACCCTGTGACCAAGTTTGAAGACAATTTGTTAACATTTGTTGTAGTTATTGCACGGAAACGAAGCGCGGCAGTTAAAGGCGTTTTTCGTTATTCAAGGGGCCATACCTCCGCCAAATTGGGTCCGCTGAAAGTGTTCATCGAACTTGGCCGAGCCCTTAAGGCATTTAACCCTGTGACTAACGTTGAAGAAAATCGGTTAACATTTGTTGTAATATTTGTAGGTATTGCACGAAAACAACTAGCCAGGTCGGTAAGATCATAGACATGTATACATGTATAATTATAATGTGTATGGCCAGTAAGATCCTGATCTGTGAGATCATTGATATTTATACATGTATATGATCAGTAAGATCCTGATATGTGAAGTCATAGACATTTAAACATGTATATAACAAGTAAGATCCTGATCCTAAAGATCATGGATATGTGTACATGAATATAATCAATAATGGTATCCTGTAAGATAATAAAAAAGTGTACAAGAATATAATCAGTAAGATCCTGATCTGTGAGATCATAGATATTTATGAATGAATATAATCAGTAAGATACTCATCTGTGAAATTATAGACATTTATACATATATATAATCAGCAAGATCCTGAAAATTTTGCCTGTGTTTTTGATATACTTAGATATGTTTATCTCAAGTTTAACAAAAGAAATGTTTCTTGTTTCAAACAGATGTATTGTACCTAGGACATGTAGAGTCAAACAAAGGTTTAAGCTGTGATTCATATAAATAAGCTGCAGTGAAAGATTGGTCAGTACCTACAAATGTCACAGAAGTTCGTAGTTTTCTGGGGTTAGCATGCTATTATAGGAAACTTATTCCGAACTTTGCATTTGTGGCCTACCCATTGACAAAGCTTACCAATAAAAACACTTAATTTCAGTGGTGTCAAAGTAGTAACCAAGGTTTTGAGACATTAAAACATTTATTGACAACTGTACCAATATTGACATATCCCAAGAGAATGGGAATAGGGACATTTGACTTCATACAGATGCAAGGGCTACAGGGATAGGCGCTGTACTATCACAAGTACATGATGGGGAAGATAGAGTTACAGCTTATACAAGTAAAACTATTAGCAAGACTGAACAAAGGTATTGTACTACCTATACAGAACTACTAGCTGTAGTTAAATTTGTAAAAATGTTCAAACCCTATCTATTGGGGAGAAAGGTCATAGTGAGAACTGACCATAGTTCCTTTACCTGGTTTATGTACTTTAAAGATCCAGAAGGGATGGTAGCCAGGTCGATAGTTTCTTGTTTATAGATAGATAGATATGATATAGTTGGTACATAGAAAAGGTAGTCTACATGGGGATGCAGATGGGTTGTCCAGACAAAGATACAGTCGCTGTAAGAGGATAAGGTGTCCTGATTGTAGCAGCGAAGACCATAAACATGTAGTTCCATTTAAATAGGCAATCCTAACCATCTAGTTCCCAGTTAATCTGGCAGACCCTAACCCTGTAGTTCCATTTAATTTGGCAGAATCTAGACCTGTAGTTCCAGTTAATTTGGCAGAATCTAGACCTGTAGTTCCAGTTAATCTGGCAGAACCTAGACATGTAGTGTCAGTTAGCCAGGAAGAAGCTAAACTGGCAGTTCCAGTTAATCTGGAAGAACTTAAACCTATAGTTAAAGTTAGTCAAGGAGAACCTTATTCGGTAGTTCTAGAAACTCAAAATGACAAACCTGTACAACCAGTTAATCTGGAAATAAAAGGAACTGTTTCCTCAGTTGATCTGGAAGATGATTCCATCCAACAGAATAATGTACCTCTGGTTGTTCAAAACATGGAAAATTTAGGGGAATGGGTTACTTGGGGCAGTAAATAAATCAAGAAAATGCAGGATAGAGATCCTGATATGAGGCCTTTGATAAAGCTCAAACAGAAATGTAAACGAAAACCTTCCCAGGATGATATTTCTGTATTGTCTTGAGAATCCAAGGTATTAATTAATTTATGGGACTCGTTGTATCTTATAGAAGATGTGTTGTACATAGAGTGGGTATAAGAATGTACCAAAAATAGAAAGAACGTACTAGTATCCCCAGAAGAGGTCAGAAGGAATATTTCAAATGGTTTACATAATACACGTACATCATTATTGAAACTGCCAGAGGGAGACTTCAAATTAATGGTCAAAATGTAAAACTCAGAAAAGACAAAAACCTAGTGGCCATTTGTTTAATCTAAAGGAAAAGGTTAGCATTCCTCAAGAGACTGAGGTTTTGGCAGAAGGCAGGTTAAGTTAAAAATGGGATGACGGGTTAGAGGGTATTATAGAACCTACAAATAAAATCATAAAAAGAGCAGGATTACTTGTACCCAAATGTTTAGTAAAATCATCTGATAACAAGATCATTATGTCAGTGTTGAATACCTCTCAAAGACCAGTTAAGGTACTACATTGGCAGATATTCAGCCTTGAGATAGGTTAAGAGCCTTGGCGTTGAAACAAAAAAGTACTTGTGATAAAATTGACCAAGACCCTGTTATACCTGACCATCTAAAGCCATTACTAGAGAGGTTATCAGAGAAGCTAATAATAAAGCAATACCACAATAGATATATTTTCTGTATTACTCTTGTCAAACCTTAATAAAAACCAGTCAAATAATAACAGGAATTTGGAAAGTGAAATAAGACAAGAAAACCCAAGGGGTTACAGAGAATTTACACTACACAGGGCTCAAGAGGTTTTGGTAAAAGGCGGATTAAGTGAAAAATGGGATGACGGGTATTATAGAACCTACAAATAAATTTCTAAAAAGAGCAGGATTACTCGGTTGTGTTTTAAATACCGTATGTATGGAACATTATGATGCAGATGAGTAACGGCAGGCAATACAGATTGTTAATCTATTGACGTATTGCTATGTTGTTAAAGATATATAGAGAGACTATGTGTTAATGAATCTGTAAATAATATGGTGTGACTTTTATGAATAATTACTGCACAACAGCTCAATATCTCAACAGATTAACTATATTAGGTATTGCCTGAAGTTAATTCATATAGTGTACATGTTCTTTCTTAATGAATTTCTTGACAATAGAGCAATACCACAATATATATACTTTCTGTATTACTCTTGTCAAATCTGAACTCTTTTACTAATATTATGTAACTCTATATAAACTTCAAAACCCCCTTTCATTTAGTTAGGGTGAAAACTTATTTTGCCGCCGGATTAACCTTCCCCGCCTTGTCTTTACAGGACTATATATTATACTAGTTTGGTCATTAATAAACAAATGTGAATTTTCATCTTCAAGACTACTGTTTTCACTGTCAGAGTACTCAGATTTGCTATCTAGTACTCTTTCTCAGATTCACTATCTGATACCACTGCTAACCAGTTTGTTGGAGTTACCTCCCCTTCATATGGTTAAAGGTGGTCTACATGATCTTTAATGGGATTCTTACCCTCATTTTCTTGTATTTGGTAAGTTATGTCATTGTATTTTGACAGTACAAC